TATTTGAAATGTGTGCTTTTGTGAAAGCTAGCTGAGGCTTAGTTGGTAGTAATGCTGAACAAAGAGGAGAATATTTATCCATTCTACCTTGGCTAGTTGTGGGTTGTCATAGGAGTTTCAAGGGCTGGGGCAATTTTTCAATTTTTCAGCATTCCCTGTTTTAACTATCATAATGACTAAAGATGACAAAAGGAGAATCAATGCCTTTGAGTTGTAGTGCTAGAGAAGACTATTGAGCATGCCAGGGAGAACAATCAGATATATCCTAGAGAGGGTGAAACCAAGCTGCTCCTTGGAGGCAAGGATTGTAAAGCTCTGTCTCACATACATTGGGCATGTGGCCAGGACGGACCAGTCCTTGGAGAAGGACACTATGCTTAGAATGATGAAGGGTCAGTGCAGGAGAGCAAGACCATGGATAAGATGGACTGACACAGTGATTGTGGCAATGGGATCGGGTATGTCAAAGATGATGATATTGGATCAAGATAGGGCAGGATTCAGAGCTATTGTCCATGGGATGGCTATGAGGCATGGTTGACGGATGGCACATAACAACAACTACACATCTCCTGGAGTGGATCATAAAACCATGTCTAAGAGTAAACATTAATCAGATTATTTACTATTTCCTGGAACACACAAAAGTATTTGTGTAGGATCTGGTGATCAGCAAGATGGAATAATTTTGGTTTCAACCTTCCACAAGTTAAGTCTCTCTCTTGCCTCATCCTAATACTAGACCTGTATGAGCTGATATAATAATTTACTGTAATATTATAATAAATTTTACATTAACCAAATTATGAAGAAGGAAAAAAACTTTAGGAAAGAATTGTAGGGTGGTGCTATCAATTTTAATAATCTGGAAAAAATATTCCAAGTAGGAAAAATGAGCAAGCTGGGAGTGAAAACAGATTGTGGCATCTTCCAAAAGAAATACTTATCACACTTAACTAGGGGATCGAGGCAGCTCCTCCTATAAATAGTTCCCTTTTCAATCACCTGGACCCAGCTTGCACAAAAGCTGTCTAATAATAGCCTAGCTCTAAGAAGAAATCACATTGTGCATTCAAGCACACGAATCATAAATTAGAATGTAAAAATACCAAAAGCTACATTTTTAACAATGGTTTAGATTTTGTTTGTCGCATCTGAGCTATCAAGATAGCGTGTGGAATGCTTTTGAGAGACTGTTATGCTCCCTCTGGACTGTCTTACTTTGCCGTCTGATTTATTCCTTTTATGATGCAAGTCTTCGTTCAAGAGCAGTCCAGTCTTCAACACTTTCATTGTGGTCATTTCTTGCAAGAATTAGTCACGATTAGGACAATGCGAGCATAAAAACTTTTGAGGAGTGCTTTGGACTGAGAGAGGGTTGATCTGAAGTGAAGAATATAACAATAGGATCCAGATGATTCACAGCAACGGGACAAACTGTGGTTTTCCCTGGAGGACAATGTGTGACACTGGAGTTGTATCTGAGCCATTTTAGTGGAAATGGCTGAGACTATGAATAAAACTCCGAAATTCAAAATAGTGAAAGAAGATTATACATCATTCTGAGAGCAGCATGCAAACTCTAAATTCAAGGTTTCCTTCCTCCCTGACCCTCCCTTGCTCTTTTTTCCTTCAGTCTTAACTGAGCAATTAATTACTGTATGTAATGAAGATCAATAAGACATAACATTATATTTTAACAGTGCCATTGTGTTTTGTTGAACCTAAGACAAAGATAGGCAATCTTCTTCTGTGCAATGTACTGCCTTTGAAAACCCACTGAAGAGTCAGCTAAAATAACTTTTTTTTCCATATTATATTATCTCCAAAATTGGAGTATGTCTTACAAGCATATTATAATTTAATTGACAGCATCATTACTTTATTATAAGCATTTTTCCACTGACAATAATTTAGAGTTAATAAAATAACTGTCATCTATTTCTAAACAAACAAACAAACAAATGACCCAAAGTTTACTGTTGGCAATCTGTCCTTTTTAGCTACCCCTGATCTAACAATCCTCTGTTGGTAAAGAGCCCCAAGCAGAAAACAATACTGTAAACATTCACTTCCCCTATCTATAGTCTCCTTTAGCATGATTTAAGATCCATAGACAACTGATCTTTGACAAGGAGATGTACTTAATTGGGAAATGACAGTCTCTTTAATAAACGATGTTGCCAAAATTGGAAAACCATCTGCAGAAAATTTAAGCAAGACCTACACCACACAACTTACACAAAAACCAACTCAAGGTGGATCAGGGAACTAGAAGTAAAACCAAAAATTATTAAATCCATCAGAGAAAATTTAGGAACAACTCTAGAAACTCTTAATTTATAGCATGAACAGTCTTCTAAGCATAATGAAAAACGTACAACCAGGAAAGAATAAAAGAGATGAATGGGACCTTCTGAAAAAATCAAATCCCTATGCACTTCCAAAAACTTCTCCGACGATGCATATCCAAAAACTTCTCCAAGGATGCTCATCCAAAAACTTCTCGGAAGGTAAAAAAAGGAAACTCATAGACTGGGAAAAAAAATTTAGCAATCACATATCTGATAAGGGACTTAGATCTAGAATTTATAGAATGCTTCATCACCTCAATAAGAAAAAGGTAAATAAACCAATCACAAATTTGGCACAGGTTATGAATAGACACTTCACCAAAGAGGATATTCAGATGACAGGCAAACAAACACATGAAGAAATGCTCAAAATCCCTAGATATCAGAGAGATGAAAGTTAAAAAACCTGTATAAGCTCACCTCAGCAACACTAGTTAAGTTCAACAGGGCAGCAAACAATAAATGCTGGCGAGGTGTCGGAGAGATGGGAACTCTTATTTGCTGCTAGTACCGGTACAACCACTATGGAAATTGGTCTGGTACTTTCTCAAAAAGTTGAAAATAGAAATACCATTTGACCCAGCAATTTCACTACTGGGAATATACCCTAGAGAAACTAGAACTTCCATCCAAACAGATACATGTTTATTGCTGCATTATTTACTATACCAAAGAAATGGTTTGCAAACCCATGTTTATCATGGCTTTGTTCACAATAGCAAGGAGTTGGAAACAACCCAAGGCCCATCAACAAACGAATGGATAGAGAAGCTGTGGTATATTCACATAATGGAATACTATGCTGCATTGAAAAACAAGGAACTCATGCAATATTATTAAAAATTGGTGACTCTGGAGGACAGTATGCTGAGTGAAGTATCTCAGTCACAAAAGGACAAATACTGCATGGTGCCACTGTTGTAAAACAAGACTGACCTCAGGGCTGGGAGGAGACTGAGAAAGATGGGTTCAATAATGTATACTGCATTGAAACAGATGAGGGAGAAAACTGTTTAATAGGGATATGTTATTAGGTATTTCTGTCATGACAGGAGTCCAGAGCAAAGGCTGCATAGTGGAGTGGACCTGGGGGGAGGGATTGTATAACAATGAAAGAATGTTTCTTCTACTTTTCCAAGAGGGTAGTGTACTGAGGGAGAGGGTTGGGCAGGGATAAAAGTGCAACAATGAATGAATG